ACCCATTCACTCATTCATCCACCCATTCACTCATTCATCCACCCATTCACTCATTCATCCACCCATTCATCCATCCACCCACTATTCATTCACTGTTCACCCATTCCTTCATCCATTCATGCATTTAGTCACCATGTACTCACTCACTCACTCACCCACCATTCATTCACTCACCATTCATTCATCCATCCATGGCCCCACTCATTCAGTCATTCATCCATTAGGTTAGCAAACACAGAGGCACCAGCACTTGCAGCAGAAGAGGCTCCTGGTGCAGCAGAAAGAGATGTGGACCCCCACTGTGCTGGAAGGGCCATCAGTGTTCAGAGGGGGAGGACTGGCTGGATCACAGGCGCAGAGATGGGAGGGGCTGTCATGACCGCTGGGGTTTGTCCCTGGGCTCCTGATGCTGGGGTGCATCTTGGGGAGTGGAGTGGACACACGGATGCCCCCCTCGGGAGTCCCTGAGCAGGGGAGGGACAGGGTCATATGGGTCTGGCAAAGCCCCCCCAACAGCCAAGTGCCTGGGAGCACAGAGGCCCGAGGCGGTCACCATGCGGTCACAGGTGCGGGAGGTGAGGGCGGCCGTCCCGGCTGCGGCTCACCGTGGATGCCAATCATGTGCTCCAGGATGAGGACTCTCTCCGCCAGGATCTTCAGCGCCTCTCGCAGCTGCTGCACCCCCTCGCCCTGCTGGGAGGAAGGGCCGGGGTCAGGGGGTCGGGGTCAGGGCCACCCAGACACAGTGGACAAGGCTCACAACCCCCCACCTCTCCCCACCTGTCACCAGCATCGCTCTGTCACAGACCGAGCATCTGTGTGCTGGGCTGACGTCCAACCCGTCCACTGGTGAAAACCCTGACGCACAGCGACAGCAGTTGCCATCCCTGTGGTCACGCAGCTGGACATGGCTGACCCAGGCTTCAAATCCAGACCCGTCGGCCTCCAGCCGGGGCTTTTCCATCCTGCCATGGCTGCCTGGCTGCTTCCTGGTGTTTGCCACTTCCAGAAAACACCCTGAAGGGCCAGGGCACCCAGCACAGGGCCCTGCTGCCTGCCTGGACCCAGCCCCTGGGGGCACTGGCCACACGGAGCTGCTGAGCAGGCCGGAGGCGGTGCCACCCGCACTTCCAGAGCCCACCGTGGACACGGGCAGAGGACCTCATTCAGGGGGACAGAGCTGAGACAGGGCCCCGTACTGAGAAGACCGCTGTTGAGGCCACTTTGCCAAGGAAAGTGGTGATGAAGCGACAAGGCCACTGTCCACGGTCAGCCCAGCCCAGGGTGCTGGCAGCAAGGTGGGACCTTTTTGCAGAACGGGGTGCTCGCTACCTTCAGACTAATTCAGCGGCAAACTGAACTGAAGGAACCCAGGCAACCCCGCCGGGTTACAGGAGAGGTCTCCCCAGGAAGCCAGAGGTGACAGGCGACAAGATGCGCAGTATCGGGGACAGACTGTCTGTGCGGGGAGATCAGGGTGGGGCAGGGAGCTCCAGGCCCCCTCTGCCAGGTACCCAGCTCAACCTCCTGTCTCTGAACCCAAAACTCTTCCTATGAAATGGGGTGAGGGGTGTTATGGGCGACCTCTCAGGGTCCCCTGGCAAGTGGCCTGTGACTCGGCACCTCTCGCCCTGCCTCCCCTCCGCCGTCTGCCAGCACAGAAGTCCCGGTCCCCCCTTGCTCCAGCCTTGCTCCCCAGGGTCCCAGAATGACGCCCCCTTCCCTCCATCCATCTTCTCGGGACAGTGATTTTCCCCCAGGACCTCGGCTCCACCCCCAGGGCTGGTCCCAGCATCACATGGCCCTGGCATCACTCCTGTATCCGCTGGGTGTCATCACACTGGGCTGAGAGCTCGGCCGGTGCAGGTCTGTGGGTGTCCCCTGCCCCCTGCGGCTCTCAGGGAGGTGAATGACAGGTACAGTTACCTCCGTGGTGGCGGTTTTGTCCCTGTCCTCCGAGGTCACACCAGCCTCACTCTAGGAATAAAGCCATGCAGTCAGCACCGGATGGGGGTGGAGCATCTCACCGCCCTTGCAGGAGGACCTCAGGGACAGGCAGCACCTGGGACAGGTGCTGGGCCCCGGGGACTCCTGCTCTGAGGTCAAAAGTGCAGGGCCTGGCACAGGCAGAGGCCGGGCTGGCTTCTGGGGCAGCGGGGGGTGGGCTTGGGGCCTGGTGAGTTCCAGTCACGGCTGTGCAGGCATCAACCACGTTGCTGGCTCTAGGGACCCTGCTCCCTAGCCCTAGACTAGGACCCATTACTAGGTATGGCGGTGCACATCTGTAATCCCAGCACTGAGGGAGGCTGAGGCAGGAGGATCTCAAGTTTCAGGGCAGCCTGGAGAAATCAGCAATTTAGTGACACTCTGTCTCAAAACATAAAAAAAGGGGCTGAGGATGTAGCTCAGTGTGAAGGCTCGGGGTTCAACCCCCAATATCAGAAAGAAAGAGATAGAACAGTGTGGAGGACATGGAAAGGTCAGGTCCAACCACTGCCCGGGCTCTGGGGGCCCCTCTGCACCTGGCTGGTGACCTCGGGCCCAGCCGCAGCGTCTAGTCCTGTCACCTGCACAGCATGGCAAGGCCAAGCGCTCTGTCACACACATAAGGGAGTGGCTGGCCTAGGGCTTGGTAAGCAGGTGACAGCCATGGCCGTGGTGATGCCAGGTCCACTTTCCAAGATGTGTCCTAGGTTTGCATCTGAGATGTGCCCAAAGGTCATGTGCTGAAGCCTGGGTCCCCAGGCAGCGGTGCTCGGCAGTGACTGGGTCACCAAGGCGCATGGGCCGTCTACAGGTGGGTCCCAGATGCAGGAAGCAGTCCCTGGGCGTGACCTGGAAGTGTTCTCTTGTCCCTGCCTAGTCTTCTTGCTCTCTCTCTCTGCTTTCTGCCTCAGGGCCTTTGCACTTGCTCTGCCTAGATCGGAACTGATGGCTGGAGAGGCAGAGCCAGCCTGGGTTTGGGAGCACTCAGGCCAGCTCCGGCTCCTCCCTCCCCACAAGCAATTCTCAGGAAGGGGCAAAGGGTCGCAGTTGCTAACAGAACAACACTCATGTGTCGCCTTCCCTGGGTGCCTGGCTGGCTGGACCGGCTCCTTCCTGAGTGTCCCATGCTGCTAGTGGCCTGGCTTCCCCTCCTCTAGGACACAGTGGTCCCCAAGCTCATCCCCTGCACCACACCAGAAAGCCAAGTCCTCACCTGGGATCCGGGGGCTCCTGGAGGTCCTGGGGGACCGTGTGGTCCTGGGGGACCTACGGGCAGAGTCACCAGCGGTCACCTGGGCCAGGGAGTCCACTGGGCCCAACAGCGCCAGAGGGGACATTCCCACCCTCCCCTCCCAGCACCTGCGCCCTGGGGCTGTCCCGGCGGCCAGGGAGTGGAGGTTTGTTGGGGATCAGAAGCTACATGGCCCCACTGGCCCCATGGCCAGCCCAGAGCTGCGCCTGTCCCCCCCCTATGTCCCCGCCCCTCCCCTATGCCCCGCCCCCTCTCCTACGCCTTTGCCCGCGGCTCCTCCCCAGGCTCCTCCTCCTAGGACTCAGGGACTGGCCTGGAGCGGGGGTCCCTCTCACAGGCCGCTCTCAGGGCTCCCGAGGGCCTCATCTTCTCTACTCTCCCAGGTGTGCTCCAGGAGAATTCCTCACCTCTGTGTCTTTGGCAACACCATTCCTCCCCCGGAGCTTCCTATTCCCCCCATGCCCTCATTTTTCCAGCAAACACCTTCCTATCAGTCTTGGTAGAGGGTCACCTCCTCCAGAAAGCCCACCAGTGTGGCCTCCTCCTCTAGGTACATCTCTTAACTTTTTTTTGTTTTGTTTCTTTTTCCGGTACCGGGAATCGAACTCACGACGTCACGCTTGCTAGGCAGGCGCTTTGCCGCTGAGCTAAATCCCCAGCCCTCTAGATGCATCTCTGACCGCACATGTTTATCAGTGTCCTGGGGCCTGGAGCCCCCACCCAGCACATAGTAAGTGTGCAGTGAATGTTTATTGATTGCACGCAAGATCGAGTACATGGCCAGATGATCTGTCAAGGCACTGGAGGTTCTGCTGGGCCATGACATGCCCGCAGCTGGGCACACATGGCTGTGTGGGTGGCCACCAGTCCCTACGCCCCGTCCCCACCCGGAGAGGGCTCACGGGCAGATGGGGTCAGGCCGGGCCTAGAGGTCCCCCACGCTGAGCCCAGGTCTCCCCTCGCCCAGGGCTCCCTTTTCTGACGTTCACTGTGACTCCCTCTGGGTGACCCCACGCTGTCCCCAGCCCTGGTCTCCCTGCAGACGAAAAGGCAGCCCAGGCCACCTCCCTCGGGTGTCCCGCCCCACAGAGCGCTGAGCCTGGGGAGACAGATCCCACCCAGGCCACAGGGGCCGGAGTGACCCGGGCTGCGAGCTCAGGCCAAGCCCAGGAGGTGAGAGGATCTGTCGTCCACTTACCTGGGGGGCCAGGAGGACCCCGAGGCCCGGGGATGCCCGCCAGCACCGTGTCCACGACGGCAGGTCCCAGCTGGGAGTCCCCATCTGCGGGAAGAGCAGGCCGAGCGGATCTGGAGCCTGCGCCGGGGTTCAGCTAGGCAGCCCCGGACACGGGGCACAGCGGTCCCCACGGCTCAGAGCGGCACACAGAGGCCCCAGCAGGGGAAGCCAGGCCGGCACCCGTTCCCTCGGGAGCTCGGCAGGCCCTGGCTTCTCTGGGGCTCAGGCTGGCAGTCCCTTCCAGGCCCTCCACCCCCACGGTCACAGTGCTGGGTGGCGTGGAGCTCACAAGTGACTTCCGTGGTCCTATGTAAGGTTCTCTTCCAAGCCCAGAAGTGCCGGGCTGGGCAGGTGGCCTGGGCTCGCCCTGCCTGCACAGACCCCAGGACTGGTGGCACAGGTGGCTTGGCAGGAGAATGTCTGGCCAGGGGCTGGTCCCCGGGGCTGCCCCGCTGAGCACCCATATTCTTCCCAGGCATTCTCATCTCAGCATTGGGTGACATGGGCAGTGCCAGGCATAGGGCTTCATGCCCAGGCCAGGGCAAACAAGGCCCTTGACTGTCAGCCCAGGGCTAGTGTGACCCCTCCCCCAGCCCTGCCAGCTGCCATCTGCCAGCCCCTGCACCCGCAGACAGCATTTGGGGCCTCGCCCTGCTGGGAGCGGGCCCTCCTCCCGGCGCAAGTCTTGGGTGGGGGCTGTGGGGGAAAGAGGCTGGGAGGGCGTGGCGTCCAGGCACAGGTCAGATGAGGGCTGGGCTGCCTGGGAGGACAGAAGCCCGCGCAAGGTGGAGTCTGGGTGACAGTAAGATGCTCCCGGGTGACAGCACCCAGGTGCCACCCACCCTCCCTCCCCAGGTGTGGAGCCAGTCGCTCCTCTTAGCACTCTCCCCAGCCCGCTCAGGAGCCCACAGGCGGGACCCCACTTCCCCTGGTCCCTCTGGAGGGCTGGTCCCCCCAGAAGGCACTTAGCCTGCCCCGCCCCCCACGCGGCACTCACTGTCCTTGTCCGTGGGCGGCTGCAGGGAGTAGAGGACACCTTGGGGGTCATTTGGTGAGAGGCCCGGGCTGCCTGCTGGGCCGGGGGGCCCCGGAGGGCCGGGGCGCCCCATCTCTCCAGGGAGCCCGCGGGGCCCCGGTGGCCCCAGGAGCCCTGTGGTGGGGAGAGAGGAGTTAGGATGAATGGGGAGCCTGGCGGCTGAGACAGCGCAGGCGGGGAGGGGGCCCCTGGGAGCGGGGAGGGAAGGAGCTGGGAGCCCCAGCAAGATCGGGGTGCCCTTCCTCCCAGGACAGCGTCAGGCTGGGGGTCCTTACCCGGCGGCCCCACTGGGCCCTTCTCTCCCGTCTGGCCCCGGTCCCCTTTGGAGCCCGGTGGCCCTGCAGGTCCTGGTGGTCCCGCCTGCCCCGGGGGCCCTGGGGAGACAGAGGGATGAGGACACGGAGGGGGGGCCCAGGCACCCCTGTGCTCCAGGCCTGACTTCTGCCGGGTCACCGTCCCCAGATATCTCCCCCAGCTCTCCCAATGGCCCCAGCTCCACCACGACGTGGCATGTCAGTCCCTACAGCTGACCGGCCACATTCTTCCTACCTCGTCTATCACCCCAAGAGCTGCTTTTATTCCTGTTTTCCAGGTGGGAAAACTGAGGCTCATAAAGGTTTGGTCCTCTGCTCAAGGTCACAGAGCCAGCATAAAGGTCAGGGTTTTTCACCCCTGGGCCCTCCCTCCTGTCCTACCGTCTCCTGCTCAGGGTCGTGTCCTGGGCCTGGGGCAGGTGCCCCCCCATTATGGCCTCTCGGACGCATCTGCCCAACTGGGACAGAGGAGACGGAAACGGAGGGTCAGCTCTCCCGCCTGGGGACAGCCCCTTCTCCCTCCGGGTTTGCTGAGGAGGAGGAGAAGGAGCGAGGTGTGCTCGGGCTGCGTGTGGGTCTGGAAGGAAGAGCTCCGCTGGGGGGCCGCTGGTTTAAGGGAGCCCGGGGCCAGCCAGGAGAAATGTCCCGCAGACACCATTTGTAGGGTGCCTGCGCCATCTGGTGGCCATCACTGGAATTGCATGTTCCTTGGTTAAAAAAAGGTTTGACCAGGAGGCCCAGCCCCCTCCCAGCCTCCCACCTCCTCAGACCCTGAAGAAAGCCTGGAAGAAGTGGTTGGTCTCTAGGGTAAGATCTCGAGGACAGCGGCTGGAGGGGTGGGCCAGGGGCCAGAGTGAGATGTCCCCACTCTCCCCGCAGCAGGCCTGAGCCGCACTCCTCTGCCAGAACCTTCAGACACCTGCTTCTGTGCCCCTGACCCCAGGACTGACCCCTGAGGCCACTGCCCTGCTATGTGGGGATCTGCCCTCCTGCCCTGGTCCCCTCCCACACCCAGGGACAAAATTCTACACACAGACAGGACAGCGGAGCCGGGGGACAGGTGTGTGTGCTCGGAGCTAAACAGGGAGAAAAGGGGTGTGCGTCCCCCCTTGGGCTCCAGGGGGCTGAGAATCATCAGGGCAAAATGCCTCCAGCTCACTGGTGACACCAGAGGAGCTACCTGGCTTCTCTTGGCCTCACTGTCCTCTGCAGCACCCAGGGACAGAGTCCTGATCAGGGTAGAATTTGCAGATGATTTTTTTTTTTTTTTAACAATACTGGGGATTGAAGCCAGGGCCTTTGCACTGAGCTGCATCCCCAGCCCTTTTTATTATTATTTTTTATTTTGAGACAGGGTCTGGTTAAATCCCTAAATTATCCTGGCTGGGCTTGAATTTGCAATCCTCCTGTCTCAGCCTCTCAGAGTTCTGGGGTTATGGGCGTGTACTACCACATCTGGCTTACAGAGAACATTTTCACCCTTGCCCTTAAAATGTAGCAAGAAGACGAGGAGCCACATGTCCCCCAACTGTAGCTGGGAGTTCAGTGTGGATGGCCCGGAAACTTGGGGGGCTCTGTAAGCTCAGGGCCTGGGGGTGCACAGGCAGGGCGGCTGCAGGGTGAAGCTGAGCAAGAGTGGCAGGCTGGGGCCCGGGGCAGCTGCCAAGGAGCGGTGCGGAGCTGAACACAGGACTGTCGCATAGGGAGGAGCCTTGGGGACCACAGCAGACTGCTGAGCTTGAACCGGATCTACAGTGGCCACCGTGGCTTACAAGGTGTGATCTAAATATGCAATGAATGTCTCCATTGAAAAGTTTATTGTAAGACACATCGCCGCCAATCCCCCTCAGAATCCTCCCTCCATCGCCGTTGCCTCTCTCTGAGCAGCTCTGGAAGTCTCCTTACGTGCGGGTCTAATGTATGAGTTATGACGAAAAGCACGATGAATGTGATGAATGTTGCCACCGAGCGCCGTCCAACAGAAAGGCAGACTCGTAAAAAAACATGGCGGTGCGTCCTCATCCACCTTGTTCACCAGGTCTGGCCCCGTGTGACTTCTATCTCTTCTCCCAGGTCACAGTGACCGTGACAGGGAAACATCTTGCATTGATTCAGGTTGTGGCAGCCATGACAGCACAATTTAAAGACACTCGTGAAAGAGGACTTCCAGAACTGCTTCAGAAAGGGGCAAGAAGGAAGGGATAAATGTGTTCGAAGCCGGGAAGGAGTGTTTTGAGGGGGATTCATGATAATGTGTGTACTGCTATAATTCATTTTTTAAAAAATGATCACATCTCATAGCGATAAGCAATCATTTCCAGCTGGCCCTGATGGGCAGATCTTCTAAAGAGATTTAGAAATCCTGATTTTTATATGAACCTCCTGATTTTTAAACATTAGGCCTAGGGTGGGGCGCTCTGTGGAGGCCCCAGGAGGCCGCACCGCACCCTTCCCTGCTCCCGCTCACCAGCTGGACCCGTGGGCCTCTTCCTCCGGGGCCCCGGGTGGGCCAGGGGGATGGCGTCGGGGAGGAAGTCTTCGTTCCAGGGCGGCGGTGTGCTCTGGGGCGCTGGCAGGTCGTTGTCGGGGCCCGAGGGCTGCTCGGCTGCTTCCAGCAGGAGGACCTGGCCGGAGAAGGGCAGAGGGTGAGGACCCGGCTGGGGCACGGATGCGTGTACGCAGGGACGTGCAACCCACGGGCTGCGCCCTCCGTTCTGCAGCCGCTCAGCGCATCTCCTGGGGGGCCGTTCCCTGCCAGGGCTCTCCCCCACCCCGACCCCTTGTCCCCACCTGGACAGCCCCCCACTCCTCTCGGCGCTCCTTCTGCGCCTGTCACCCTGATTGTGACTGAGCCGCAGCCCTGCCGTCCCTTCACAGGTGGCTCCCTAAGAGAGGGACGGGGCCGAGGATTTTGTCCCCTCTGCCTGGCTCGGGGCACAAGCTCCTTCCGTGGATGGATGGATGGATGGATGGAAGGAAAGAGGGAGAGAAGAAAAGATGGGGAAGAAAATAAAGAAAGAGAAGAAGGGAGGGGGGAAGGAAGGAAAGAAGGAGGGGAGGGAGGGAGGAAGAGAGGAAGGAAAGAAGCCAGTAGGGAGGGAAGGCCGGCAGACACGCAGGAAGCAAGGGGAGGGGAGGTTCAAACAGGCTCGTCTGTGTACACGGTCCCCAGGACTCTCCCTGAAAACACAAAGTGGCTGCCATTCCTCAGGCCCGGCCTGGAGCCAGCAGCCAGCAGCCAGGCCTCGAGTCCCTGCTGCCCCGGGGGACGCCGGCAGGGGGCGCCGCGAGCCCGGGATGGACGCCGGCAGACGCCTGGCCGCAGCCCGGGTGCTGGGGACCCGGTTACTGATGCCGGGGCTTCACGAGGACAAACAGCTGCGGTCCCAGGGCTCCAGCAGGGGCTGGACAGTTTGCGGGCCGTGCAGGCGCAGGCTGCGCCACCTCATGCTGTCCTCTCTCACCCCCGGCCACCCTCTGCGTCCCTCCCTCTGGTCCTCAGCAGGCCCAGGAGACCGAAGGTCCCAAGGCCGCATCACACCTGAGGGGGAAGCAGGGCTGAGACTGCAAGCGACTTGTGCGAGGTCACGCGGCGATGGACTGCAGCCCCGCGTCACCACACGCGGCTGCCCCGCCCTCGCTCAGCCGCAGGTCATGGAGTCACTGAGCCGGTCAGCGCCCCAGCGGGGACCGCCCTGTGCCCCCTAGATCCCCTCTGGGAAGGAGGGGCCTGATCCCATCCCGGGAGCTAATTGCCCAGGGCCAGGGCTGGGACCCTGTGCAGGGAGGAGAGGGGGAGGTGACACCGGAAAAACATAGCCCTGGGGTACTTGTGACAGGGACCCTGGGTGGCCACAAGGGTGGGGCGAGGGGACAGCCAGGACACGGGCCCAGGCAGGGATGGTGGCTCCAGGCCTGGCTACTGGGGACAGCAGGATTGCCACGCATCAGACAGGGGCAGAGGGGGCCAACGCAGGTGGGATGCTTGTGGCAGGGCCCCCGGGGACCTCCGGGGGGCATATTTGGTGGGGGTTGGTGCTGAGGGGGCGCGGAGGGAGACAGGACACCAGAGGGACTCGGGAGTAGCAGCGGCGGCGGCCGTCCTGGGGAGAGGGTGCTTCCACGCTCGGGCTGTGATGCCCTTTCACGCAGGAGTCCCACTGCCACCAGCACAGCGCCCGGCACGAAGGTGCCCCTGGCCCCCACCAGGCCACATCCAAGTCAGCCCCGCGGAGTCCAGGCTGCCTGGCCCTGAGGTGACCGTGCTCCAGTGACACGCATTCCCTCCGCAGCCCGCTGAGCTGCCAGGGCACCTCGGGACACAGGGATCGCGCCCAAGGAAAGCGGACTGCAGCCCTGCAAGGCCGAGCCCTGATGACATCACTGCGGCCTGAGCACCGGCCAGGCCACCGGCCACCGCCCCGCACAAGGCCAGCCCAACGCTGAGACGTCTGTGACCTTCACACAGGGAAGTCCCTTGGGGTCCCGCCCAAGGCTGTGGTCCGTGAAGTCATAAACCAAGGTGGAGGAGAGGGAAGGCAGGGAACATCCTGGTACCCTGTGGCCTCTGCCCACCAAGCCATCCTGGGACAAGAGGACAACAGGAGTCCCAGATCAGTTACCCAATTCTCTGCTTCCCTTGCAGCTAGGACGTGGTCACACAGATAAGCATTGGCCCATGAGACCAAATGAGCCTGCTGGGGTGTTTTGCCTCACCCTCCACTTCCTGCTTTTGATTGCTCAGTGCAGTGTGCAGATGTGATGCCCTGAGCTGCAGCACCCACTTTATAACCATGAGGCACCAAACACGAGGACAAAAGCAGATTCACTGAAGAGGCACAAAGGAAGGCTATGAAAAGCAGCCTCAGCCTCCAGACCTCTTGGCTGCTGCCTGACTTCTGGCTTCCTGCTGGGTGGGCCCTGCCTGGCTCTGCCTTCACCTCCCTGACCCCTGACCCCTGACCCCTGACCCCTGATTTCAGATGCCAGCTCCTGTTCTGACTCCTGCAGGGTCTCCTGGGGCTGCTGCGTTGCGTTGGACCGAAGTGGCCTCCCAATCCCCATGCTAGCACCCCCTCCACACACGTGTCTTTATCTGTCTGACTACAGCGCTGACCCTCAGCACCGCTCAGCCCTGGGCTGTTTCCCCAGCTGGGTTCCACCCTCTGCACTGAGGTCCCCGTGCCCAGGACCAGTGCACCAGGCTGCTCTTCAGAGAAGGCAGCGGCCCAGCCAGGCCACGGCCAGCGCATCCCATGCCCCCGCACAGCTCTGGGAGGAAGACCAGGCCAAAGGGCGCCAGGGTGGTCCAGGGCTCTGTGTGCGTGTGTGCGTGTGTGTGTGCGTGTGCATGTCTGTTGGTCTGCGTATACACATGCGCGTGTGTGTACACGTGCAGGTCCACAAGGACACGTAATGCTGTGTGTGCATAAGTGCACGTGAGATCTGTGTGACTGAATGTGAGTGTGTGTGTGTGTGTGTGTGTGTGTGTGTGTCTCGTCCCGCAGGTCTCTCTGGGTGGGGATACGGTGCCCCTGGGTGCCTCTCCAGGCCATTTGCTGTCCGGAGGCCCCAGCCCTCCTCCCTCCCTGCTCTGCCGGGAGACGCCCTCGGGTCGGCCGGACCCAGCTTCCAGGGGGCGAGGCCCGCCCCACCCCAGACCCTGCTAGCTTCTCCCGCGGTGCCTGCGCCCGGGCTGTGGGCGTGAGAGCACGGTTGTCCCCTTTGAGCAGATCCTGCGGGTGCCCCCCGAGGGCCCTTGGCCCCACGGGGCTGCAGGCTCCTGTGACTCTGCCCAGCATTGCCCGTGTGGCCACAGGAGCAGCTGGGTCGGTAGGCGGGGTGGGACAGGCCAGGGGGACAGTAAAGAAGAGGGCTGGGCATGGCTCCCAGGGTCCCTGTCCCCCTACCCCAGCCGGCTCCGCACCCGGCTCCCCAGCCTGCCTGACCTTGGCCTCCAGCGTGGTCAGCCGCTCGCTCATGTCCGTGAGCCGGGAGCAGTTCATGCATTCTGAAAGAGAAGGGGACCGAGTGAGGCCCGCGAGCGGCCAGGCACGGGCACAGCCTCCGGGCCGTCAGGCAGGGGAAGCCCCGTGAGTTTGCTCTGAAAACTCCCACCCATTCTCCGTGCAGCCTGCTGGGTCTCAGCATCTCCGTTCTGAGCGCCCAGAGCACATCGTGCTGTCTATTCAGCCAGGGCCGGCTCCATGCCACACCCCGGGGTGGGGTCCGTGTCTGTTCTGTCCACCCGTGAATCTCAGCGCCTGGCACAAAGCGGTGACTCCAAAAATATCTGCGAACGGATGAAGGAAGCGTAAATGAGATCCCTGACGCTGAACCACATCTGGGAAGGACCACAGCAGAGGACACAGCTCAGAAGGGCTGTGCCACACGCTCTGTGAACACGGCGGAGGTGGGTGCAGTCAGGGAGGACGTCCTGGAGGTGGCATCATCTAAGGGAAGCTTGAGAGCTTCACAGAACGTGTGCTGAGGCCCGAAGGGGCGTGAAAAGAGGACTGGGTCTGTGACTCCAACGCACAGGGACTGCTGGGGCTGCACAGGCAGCCGGGGCAGGAAGGCGGGCTCCGCAGCATCCAGAGACAGCTGTTGGAGGTTCCAGGCAGGGGAAAGCCGAGGTCAGATCTGCATTCTGAAAGGCAGCTGCGTGTCCCAGAGCGGGAGCAGGTGGAGGAAGGGGCCGGAACACCAGTCAGGAGCACAGTCACCGTGACCCCAGGCCCGTCCTCCCCGGCTGTGACTGTGTATGTCTCCCCAGACCTGGGGCACTTGCACGAGGACGTAGAGGCTTCACAGCCGCTGGAAAGAGCTTTTATTGCTCTGGACGTTGAGGTTCTTGTCTGCTCCTCTCCTTCCCAGCTTGGCTCAGAGCCCGACCTCCCTGCCCTGGAACCCCGTTCTGGCTAAACAGACGCACAGACATGGGAGGAACGCGGGCGCCTCGGGCTCCCTGTGGCCTGCAGGACTCTGGATTCAGGCTGATGAGCTCTTACCAGACCTTCCCAGTCGAGGGCCCTTGGGGGTGTCCCCTCTTTGTCACTGAGTATAAACCACCCACTAACATCCGGGCACCTAGGAAGGACCATGGGAATAGACGGCTGAGCTGCATCCTTCCCAGGGTGCCCAGCCACAGTGCAAGCGGGAGGGCACTGCCTGTCTTCTGCTCCCTACACTCCTGGTTACTGGGGGTGCCCACAGGCTGGCAGCACCCCCAAGCTCCTGCCCCTGTATCCAGGGCTGTGCCAAGTTAGAGGTTTATAGCATTTTTTAGAAACAGAACTCTTTTTCCCCCCTGCATAAAAGCTTGTCAGCAACCCTGATGCAGAAACAGATTAAAGCTGAGCTGAAACACTCCGTGCTCACACCACCCCAAGAATGTGCACAGTGGTCTGACGCCAGGGCCTCAGCACATATGCTGCCCTCCAGTGTCTCAGGCATGGGAGGTGAAGACGGCGAAAGGTAAAGTCCACGGAGCCCAGAGAAAGGCTGCACCGCGGCCCCAGCGGACAGGTGATCCGAATGACGCACAGGCAGATGCAAACAGTGGTGTTTCCAGTGGGAGATGGAACGCACCTGGGCCCCAGTCCCAGAAAACCCAGAGGTTGGGGAGGTTGGAGCCATGGGCTCTCCTGGAGCTGGGGGGAGCTCTGGCAGACAGGAGTGGGGTCCGTTCTGGGGACAGGGACCTGCCAACGAGAAGAACCCCATGGGCACTGACTCCTGGGGAGGCTGCTGGCAAAACAGCTGGGCCCCCAAGAGACCAGGCTCCATGGGGCCTATCAACCAGGCCCTAACACACAGATAAGCCCCTCCTCCCAGGGGGCTTTTGGTGTCTCCTTAAATTCCAGCAGCCAAGGATTCCTGGGCTGATGAAGAGCCCTCTGTGGGAAGGGCAGGGTCCCATTGGTCACCTACCCATCCCCTTCCTTTAAGCACTAGAATTGGTTAAGCTTGATTGGCTTGAGAGATGCCTCGGAGATTAGCAAAGCACACTTCTGGGTGTGTCTGGGCAGGTCACGGGGACGTGACCATGGGGACTCTCTCCGGTCCTTGGCCCCTTCCTCTCTGGCTCCTCTCCTGCTCTCTGCCCCGGGTGCTATGAGCTGAGCATCCTTCCTCAGCCACAACCCTCAGCCTTGATGTTTCTGCCTTGGAACCAGCTGACCATGGACCAAACCCTCCAAAACCAGGAGCCAGAGTAAACCTCTCCACCTTTCAACTGTGGGTGTTGGGTCCAGCAGCGGAAAGCTGAATAATGCGCCACCTACCCTGCAGAGTCATCCACCCCTCCACCCACCCACCCTGCTGACCCTGTCCAGCCACCACCACCACCCCCCGAGAGACTTAGGTGTCAGGAGGCCGTCGGCGGCCCTGTGTGAGTGCTGGCGGGTGGGTGTCTGGCAGTGTGGACAGGGGCCTCCCCTCAGGGGCTGTCTCTGGGCGCAGAGGTCCTGGAACCTCCTCTCCCTGCCCCACAGCTCTGTCCTCTAGGCTGCCTGGGAGGATGATGACACAGTGACTTTGTAGCTTGAGCCTCAGCTCCCCGGCTCCCGGGGCCAACAGGGAAGGTCAGGGTGAGGCCACAGCAGACGTGGGGGCCGTGTAAGTGTGAAGCCTGGCCCCGGCCAGGGCAGTGGGCGAAGCACACACTCTGGAAGCCCTTGGGGGCCGTTTCCAGGGTCTGCGGCAACAAACAGGATGAGGGGGTTCCCGGAGGGAGGGGCCTCCGACCCTCGTGAGACCTGTTTCTGAAGGTGTCCTGGGCCTGTGCCCAGTCTGCTCTGGCACTGGGCACCCTGCTTGGCAGGTGAGGAGCAGCTTGGCCGCTGATGGGGATGGGGGCTGAGGGGAGGCCCAGCTCCCAGCCAGCTTGGACTCCCAGGCCCCCAGCCCAGCAGGCACTCTGGATCCAGCTGGGTTTATGGCTGCCCTGGCGTCTGTCACTGACAGGCAATTAAGCTTGTTTGTTTAATTTTCTCTAATTATTCATCAGAGCAGGGGAAACATGGCAACAGGGCTGGTGGGGCCAATCCTGCCCTCTGTTCTGTGACCAGCTGAAGCCCCGGCCCGCTCTGGGCCTCAGTTTCCTTCACGAAGATGTGGTGTCATGGTGTAGATCTAAAGTGTCCCCCCAGAGTCTCATGTGTATGGCAGGCGACTGCACCACGGGGCGCCACACTCCTCAGCGGGTTCATCACCGAGGTGTTCAAGCTGAGTGAGGTCAGAGGGGTGGCCCGGCTGGAGGTGGCCGCTGAGGTGGGACTGGGCAGGCTGTGTTCTCACCCCCGGCTCCTCCTTCCGGGCCGCCATGATGTGAGCAGCTTTTCTCTACTATGCACCTCTGCCATGCCGTTGCTACCTTTTCCTTCCCTCAGTTTTCCCCTCAGTAAAAGGGGGCTGTCAGCTCCAAGGCCTCCGGCCCCAGCTTCTGTGTCCCTGTGCTGTACCCTCAGCCTTTCCCACTCCAGGACGGGAGTTGCTAGGTCAGGACACTGCCCTCTGCTCAGCCCAGGACTCAGGCCCCACCTCCTGTAGGAGGTGGCTTCCGAGGCCAAGTCGAGAGGGGCTTCGCGGATAGGGCAGGAGCTGCAGGAGATAGGGCTACTACAGGGTGACCCACTGTCTGGCCTTGGCTATGGACCCCGAGGAGACCAGGGCGCACAGTGGTCCTGTTCCCAGCGGCCAGCTTCCTCTGTGAGCCGGGCCCAGCAGGGGGAGAGCCTCAGAATCCACAGGAGACCCCTGACCAGTGCTCCTAGGCCTGTTGGGAGAAGGAAGCCTCAGGTCGCTGGGGTCGGGTGCCGGAGGTGGGCAGGCGGTTGGGTGAACCACGAGTACTCAGTCACCCGTGTGGCAAAGGCCAGAAGGCAGAAAAGAGCCAGGCTGGGCCCAGCAGCTGGCACACATCAGACCCCGTTTAGCCCACTCCCCCGGGTCAGCTCTGCTCCACACAAGATGTCAGCCTTGGGCCACAGGATCGCTTAGTGCCTGCCGCCACCTGGACAAAGCTTCTGATGGTCGAGAAGGCACTTCCTGCACCGGTCATAGGGTCATACTTTGATTATCTCACCTCTGCCTCCCTCTGCCTTCAGCAGAGTTCCTGTCACGACTGGGCTTTCTGCCCCGCCTGCTGGGTAGCTCACCCTCACACCCCCAGCGGGCCAGGGAAATCAGGGAAACCAGGGACGCCCCAGGCTGGGCCACGCCCCTTTCCTCCAGCCCCTACCCCGCCCTTCAGGTCACACCACCTTCTCCTTGCCCAGACTGCAAACCTAGGCGCGTGCAATGGCTTTCTCAGGACGGTCCTGTTCCCTGCCTCGCGCTTTGTCTCACAGTCCATCCTCATCCTTGAAAAAGCAGCTCCAGGCGTGTGCCTAGCCCACTGTGGCTGAGAGCTGCGGGACCTCCATTATGAGAGTCAGGGATGAGGGGCTCAGCAGGCAGCGCAGGGGTGTGGGTAGGAGGGCTGCAGGGGAGGGGGAGGTCACCTTCTACCTTCGCTGTGAACGAAGGGACACACTAATGACTCAGCAGGGATACCCCAGCACTCACCCAAATGCGTCCCACAAAGCTGTAGCCAGGGCTCTGCTGTACCTCACAAGCCGGAAGTGTCCTCTCTTAGCTGAGGACCTGTAATCCCAGCGCTCTGGGAAGCAGAGGCAGGAGAATCACAAGTGCAAGCCCAATCTGAGCAATTCAGAGACTTGAGGCTCTGTCTCAAAATAAAAATTTTAAAAAAGGGCCGGGGATGTCACCCGAGGTTCAATTTCCAGCACTGAGAAACAAAACAAAACAAGACAAGACAAGACAAACAAAACACACCTCTCCAGGGAACCTATGTAGCCCAAGAAACAAGACCAGGAGAGCCATGACGCTGGGCTTGAACCCCAAGAACGTGAACCTGCCACGCCTGATGAGCCCGCAGTTCCCAGTGACTGTGCAACATGCACAGAAAGCCTCTAACCTGGAAGATGGAGACCAAACGCGGAACAA